CAGAAAATAATAACTTTGGGATTATTTTCAAATTATACAAGACCCATGTGACCAACTACCTCAAAATCCAGGTTAACAAATCCTGTTAGCAAGTCTCATTACTATAAGACTGCTACTGATCACATTTCTCAGGTGTGTTATTTTATAAGCTGAGAAACGTTAAATTCTAGAATCCCTACACTCAGCAATAAAATTAAAGAAAAACCTCTTTAAACTCATTTGTGAAGTTTATATGCAAATGCCAGACTGGTTCATATAGGCTCCAACAAGTATTTCACCCTTCATACTTTTTTAAAGTAGGTAGTCTTCTCAGAGGCAAGAAATTCACTGTGGTTTCACCTATTCATAGAGAACATACTGTGAGTCACAGTACTACTAGCAGTGTTAAGGCCAAGACTGCAGGAACCACAAGTTGCTGGTTAGTTCAGTTATAAGTATTTTAAAAGACTCACCCCCAGCACCATTATCTAGTTTCATAAACCAACTATCCTAGGGATCCAAACTTACAGTAGCCCCATATTCTGAAGGAGAATCAAAAGTTTCTATTCAAATAGAAAAAATACACAAAAGTGGGCACTTCCTCTGAATCTTACTCTCAACCTTTCAAAACAAAAGAATTGCTGCCAAAACCGGTTTGGCTCAGTGGATAGAGCATCGGTCTGCGGATTGAAAGGTTCCAGGTTCGATTCCGATCAAGGGCATGTACATTGATTGCAGGCACATCTCTGGCAGAGGGTGTGCAGAAGGCAGCTGGTCCATGTTTCTCTCTGACTGACATTTCTAGCTATCCCTCTTCCTTCCTTTGTGGAAAATCAATTAAAAAAAAAAAAAAAAAGCATTGCTATCATTGTCTTCCTGGGTCTACCTAAACACCTAGGAAAGACCTACCTGAAAAATACAGTGTGTGTGTGTGTGTGTGTGTGTGTTGTGTGTGTGTATATATATATTCCCCCCACCCCTATAATGTCATTCAAGGGCAGAGAGATTATTCTCCTTTACATCTCAGATTATATCTCCGTGGCAACCATGATATAGCATCTATATCTACAGGGCTAACTTCTCTCTGATCTAGCCATGTTTACCCAAATGTGTTTCTGTGCTGAAGTTAGGCTTTATTTTTCTACTTTCAAAACAAAATAGCTCAATAAATGAATACAACTACATTCTGCTTTTAATGGCCATAGCTTACAGGATTTTTAAATGCATAATTCATAGAATTATGAAATAAATGAAGCTACACATATAGTCCTACATAATATACTGGTTTAAAATCCCAAGTACAAAAACCATTAAAAACTGTTTATTTGCCAAATCCACTGAGAAAGTAGAAGTAACTTAACAGCTGTCTAAATAACCACAAAATATAAAAAACACTTCTGGTTCAATATAAATGACATCTGAAGTGAAATGCTGCCTCCTCCAACAGAATCTCATTTGTTTGCCTAGAACCTACATTTATACTTCATTTAAGCCAGCTGGTGTCTGTTTGCAGGCATGCATCAATGCAAACCCTTCCCCATTCACAAGCTGCAATTTCCATTTTTAATGGCAGGTTTCCAGCAAATACAATGAGGCCTTACAGTGGAATTTAACTCTTCATCCAACTCAATTCCTAAGGCAGACTAGAACAATGGTAACAAAACAATGTGTACAAAAGTGCCTGGAAACTAACAAAATAGGTTGACATTTAAAGAAGGATCTTTTCACCAGACCATTCATTCATTCACTACTTAATTATAAAAAACACTGCACTGGATTTGACTGACAGACTTTTGTAATGTTGCGTAATATTTTGATTGTATTAAAACAATTTTGTTCTGGAGAATATCATAACGATCTCTTGGCTAAATAGAATATTCTAAAATGTTTCAAAAATAAAGTGAGAAAGGTAAAAATCTTTGACTCTGTTTTCAACTAACTTACCAGGATAAGTGCTGACATAGCTATTATAGACCTCCATTTACCCAATTCCGGTCAATGCTTCCTCTTCCATCCTCTCCTCATTCAATTTTCCCCTTTCACATACACAGTATTATAAACTGCAGCCACTCTAGACCCAAGGATAGGCAAAACTTTTCTATAAGGGACCAGACAAAATATTTGAACTTCGGGAAAACACACACACACAACATCTGTATGTAAAGTGACAATGCCAAAATTATATTCATGTAATAAATAGGCATCAAACTAAGGAAATATGGCAATTTAAGTGGCATAGCTTTAGTCAAGGTACATAGATAGCAATGTCATAAGAAAGTCTATGTATCTGCTGCAGCCACCCCCATTTTAAAAGTTACCCTAATTAAAAAAATCTGTCACAACTACTCAATTCTGCTGTGATAGCCTGCAATAAAAAACTTAAAAAACAAAACAAAACATGCTGTGTTCCAATAAAACTTTATTTGCTAGCCCTTTCCTTTTTCCTGGTATAAGGTTGCAACAGTTTGGAAAATGTTTTTTTTTTAAATAATAGTCAAACTTTGGAATCACCTTCCTGGGATAAGTAAAATAAACTAAGGTTTAAAAGAGATGTCCACTTTTCTGAAACTACTAGTAAAGCCACAACATGACTTCAGCTACACATCAGAAGACATTAAGTAGCCAGAGAAGAACTATGATAATGATTAATTATATGAATGTTCTGAATTGTTTAAATTACATTTGAATTCACAGAAATGAAAGGAAAACAAAGAGTTTCTTCAGTGTCCCAATATAATTTGGTTTCCAATCCCAGTTACTTAATTTCAGCTAAGGATATATGGATATTCACTTTATTGAAGCTTAAGAATCACCACTATTAAAAAGAGAAATCTAAATATTAGATGGTTGGAAAGTTATTTTCAAGTTTGGTGATGACAAACCTGGGAAGCTCTTTGATATCTGCACAACACTGCAGCTCCCATTATGACAACATTATTACAAAAACCACACAAGAGCATACCCCAAACCGGCCAGGAAAACACAGAAGGCCAAATTACATGTAAAATGTTACTCAAAATTAGAAAAAGCAAATTTTAGCAATCCAAAACTTTAGCGATTTTAGCTGTTTTCAAGGCAACTTTTTATGTTAATATTCAGATTAGTTGTAATAGCTAAATAACTATTAGGCAAACTCAACAAAATTCAGTTATGGTGTGATTTTACAGTTCAGGTTATGATTAACTTCAGCAGATGTCAAAAACACCTTGAAGAACAGAAGACAGCAGTATTTTGGAAAACGTACTTGAATCAGCAGGCTTAAGCAATTTCAATCTTCTTACTATCCCCTTAATTGAAACTTGAGATAATGTGAAACAAATGCATTAGCCAATACTACAAATATATCAATGAAATAGCAAATCTGCCAAAGATCAAAATTCTTTCTGAGTAAGTTCCTTTTAAAGTGAGGACAAATGTTGTAATTCCTGGCGGGTTTACCATATATGTGCTCAAGACTATCTCAGCATTAAGATATACTTTAACTCCCAAACCTAACACTGTATTAATTCACCCTGTGGACTAAAATTTATTGCTGGTTAGCTAGAGCTATTTTTAAGTGGCCTAATTAGTTAAGTACAGGTTCCATGGTATCATTTCAATTTACAACGATTTTACTAAAGAGTCAAACTCTAAAAATAATGTTCAGCACTAGGAGCCCATTCTTGTTTCTTTTTAAATGTAAAGCCTAACAATAAACCAATAAATGCCTTTACATAGAAGATAGCTTAGGTGTGGTCACTAAATAAAAGTGGAAATTCTCTGAAAATTCACTACAACTATACAGTAGTTTATACTTAAGTTAGATAAAACATTTAATAGAAAAAAAGGAAGCCCCTTATTATTTAGAAAAGGATATTTAAAAATCTGGCCTGAAAACGATAACTAAACTAAGTCAATTCCAAATGGAACTAAACATGGTGGCATATACTACCCACAGATTTTTTTTTAAAGCTCAAGATAAGCGAAACATCTAATCAAGCTATTAAAAGGCTTTGTCTACAGGTCACATTATTACCAAAGGCTCACACACAAAGGAAACAGATTTACACTATCAGTCCATAAAAGCTTATCCTAGGACTGTGCCAGGGGGCACACAAGGGCTTTTAAAAGTACATAAAATTGGCACACACATGCGGTACACCAAGCAGCCAAGGGGCATTTCCCTCTATAGTCACTTTGAGGAAATGTCTCTAGGTGAAAAGCAAAAATAGCCTGAAGTCCCTTGGAGACTTGGGGTTAAATTCTTGATTCTTCTCAAGGCCTACGGCTTCCTCCCAACGTACTTCGCCGGGCAAAGATAAAGCACTTCCTACTCAAAGCAACTAACCGGTCCCAATTTTCGATACAATTTGCTCTTCGTTTAAAAAAAAAAAAGTTCGAGCTGTTCAAGGTCTCGGAGTGCAGTGCGATCCTGTTACAGGACTCGGGAAGAGCCTTTTCTTTGTTGTTGACCCTGCTAGGAAAACAGGTCTTGACTCAGCCAAAGTGGCGTTCTTGTGGGTGATTAATGACAGGCCTAGATCTCGCCCCAATGACAGCCATCCCCACCCCCTCGGCGCTCACACCGGCCATGTCTGCGCCGGAGGAGGGGCGGCCTTCCCCGCCCGGAACCACCGGGCCCCACAGAGGGAAGAGCCGCGGCCCATCGATCCGGGGAGATAAGCCGAGGAGGGTGGCGTGAAACGTGACCCTTCCTCAGCCTACATGGATCACTAAGATCGCCCCCCTCGGATCCTTCCCGCTGGGGCTTCTCCAGACGACGGGAAACACTCCCATCCCAGTCCTTCGCCCCGAATAAAATAAAAAATAAAATAAAAAAGGACCTTCCTCCTCCTCCCCGCACAATACACAGCCCCTACTCACCCGCCCCGCGACCCGGCGCCCCCTCCCCGCCCCGCACACCAGGCCGCGTCTGTCTATTGTGTCTCCGGAGCCGGACAAGTTCGAGACACGGGGTCGCCCGACTACTTTGCCCAGAAGCGGCCCTGCGCGCCCCCCACCACCCCGGGGCCGAGTCCCACCTGTGGTGAGGCGGGACGAGACGTCGCCGAAGGGGGACGGCTCCATCCGGAGGTACTTCTGCGGCGACGCGGCGGCGGCCGAGAAGCAGGCGGCGGTGGCCGCGGCCGCAGACGCCGGGCAGGCGGCGGCCGAGGTGGGCGCCGACAATGGCGCACATCGCCGCCGCTTCGGGGACGCCGGGCTCAGCAGCGGGTCGAAATCCAGAGTCCTTTTCAGAGTGGCCCCGCACGCCATGGCCGGAGCCGCCCAAGTGCCGGGCTTCGGGTGGGGTTGAGAGGTGGGGGGGTGGGGGAGGGGGTGGGAGAGAGGACGGGAGGGGAAGGCGAGGGAAGGGGGGATAGGAGAGCGGGGACTCGAAGAGCGGCTGACCCACGGGCTCAAGAAGCAGGAAGGCGTGCGGGAAGCGCCGGCGCGAGGGGAGGCCGCCGCCTCCGCGGCAGGGGCAGGGGCCCGGGCCGGCGCGGCGAGGGAGGAGGGAGGGGCGGTGTCGCCGGCTCACGCCAGCCGCGTCAGGGGGGGCTCTTCCGCCTCCTCAGGCGCGGATCCCCCCGGGAGAGGCGGCTCCGGGCGCCCCCGCAGTCCGCTCTCGAGCTGCGCGCCGCTCCGGAGGCGCTCCTGCACCGAAACAGGCTCCCTTCGGCGGTCGATACCGGCCCCGCGAGGTGGGAGGCTGGAAGGTGGCTCCTAAAATGACTGAGGAGGGGTCCGAAGCTTGAGACCGGCGGTCGATGAGGAGAGATTGCAAAAGCAGCGGCAGCGGCGGCGACGGCAGGAGCTCTGGCAAACACGTCCAGTCACTTCCCCCTCCGCCGTACGACTCTTTGCCACCCGCCACCGGCCCCAATATGGCGTCAATAACAACGCCGCCGATTCAAATCCTGCGGCGTCAGGGCGCGTGCGCTCAGGGGCGGACACCCCGGGGGTGCATTCTGGGAGTTGTAGGTTTTCGCTGTGGGCGGGAATCGGCGAGAGAAGGGGTTAGGAAGGGGTCGCACAAACTACGACTCCCGTCATTCAAGGCGCGTGATTCCGAGTTCCGGGTTGGAATTTAAATCCCCCTATACACAGTTTGAGTGTAAAAACTCAGCAAAAGAAAAAAAAGAAAAGGCTTTGAGAAACTGGGGGACCGGAAAACTTACCGGTAAGGGAAAGCAGGCTTAACGACCTTTCAAATTTAGTTGTCCTGATACCAATTCCACAGTTATTTAACAACCGGGAAATAAGAAACAACAGCCCTCAAGACAGGTTAATTTCGATAATAGGAGTGCCAAAAATAAAACCTGTCACCTTGAGGGGCTATGAAATAAGCTTGTAGAACTTATTTAAGACTGCAAGAGAGAACAGTAATATTGTAGTATCAGATTATAGGATCTTTGATTAAACTAGATGCTTTGCCTTTCCCAAGTAGTTACTTTGCGTCCACTTAGTAATTCTGCTAAGCTAGTTTTACCCTGTAAATGAATAGGATTTGAATAACATACAGAACCAAATTGTTTTGCTTTGGATTAAAAAGTGAATGATATTGGAAATTCTGTTATCTCTGTTGAATATTGGTGTATACACTGTGAAAGGTAAAGAAGTAAAAGACACTACGGAGTAGATGTTGAGCCCATTTCATAAGCAGAGAAAACATTTTTTCCCCTGTAAGTTGTACTTTTAATCAGAAAATACAGCATTAATAAAAAAGTGATTTATGAGAAAACAAACTGTCACTAGTCCTTTGCCTATGTAAACTATCAGTCCAATACAAAACTACTTATCTATGTGAATGCCATCTTGTCAAATTATCATAGCTATCACATACTGGCTTGCAGGACTTATTTATTCCTGTCATTTATTCAGTAACTAAAAGATATTTTGTATTGTTTTGTCTATTATTCTTTATACAATATATTCTTGTTTTATAGAATATAAATATCTTAATAGAATATCTGATATTACACTGAAAATGTCTTTTGAAAAAGATCAGCACTTAATGAAACAACACCAATATAGGTGTTTCTACTAAATTTCAAACATTTTATGAAATCTATGATAAGGTAAAATTAACAGGTTGTACATATTTTATTTTTAAGAGTAAGAAGGTTAACCCATGGAAAACAAGTAACAAAACATTTATATTCCTGGTAAATGTTTTCTGAAATTAAGATTTGACCTTAAATTATAGAACTTATATTGGAAAGGGAGAGTTATGAGTTGAATTGTCACCTTAAATTTAATTTGTGGAAATCCTAACTCCAGGTATCTCAGAATGTGAAAATAGGGTAATTACAGATGTAATTAATTAAAATGAGGTATTACTGGGAATCCAGTAAAACTGGTATTCTTAAAGAAAGGGGAAATCTGGACACAGACAGGCAGAACACGTGTGACTATGAAGGCAAATAGAAATCTAGGTGGTGTCCACAGCCAAGGAAAGCCAGACGCCAGCAAACCAACAGAAGCTAAGAGAGAGGCCTGGAACAGATCCTCCTCACAGTCCACAGAAGGAGCCAACCCTGCTGATACCTTGATCTCAGAGTTCTAGTCTCCGGAACTGTGAGACAATAAACTTCCGTTGTTTAAGCCATCCAGGTATGGTGCTTTATTACAGCAGTCCTAGCAAACTAATGCAGGGGGTTGTGGCTATTTGAGCTACACTGGACTGCCTGGAAAATTAAAAGAGTTGTATGTAAAGGTGGTAGGGGATAGCTAGTCAACTTAACATTTTAGTCATAATAGCTGCCACTGTGACCACCACTGCACAGCATATCTACACAGGCCTCTCTGTTATGACTAAACAGTGACAGGGCTGGGGCAGCCTCCCCTTTTACTATTGACTAAGGAGCTGAGAGAAACCAGGGGGACCTTTCTCTATTCACTTCTGGGTATTTGCTCAGGCTTTCTGCTCAGACTTTTTGCCTGACTACTCACCTTTAAGGCTCAACCTAGGCTAACTCCTATAGAAGGCCTTCCCTCAATACTTCTAGATGAATTTGTTATATAGCTTCATGGAGAAAGAGACACCTCTCTGCATATCTTCATCATTACCCTCACCACATTGTCATATAGCTCTGTTCGTGAATCTGCCTCTCCCACCTCTGTACTATTTAACTCCTTGCCTATAGTATAGTACTTTGTAAACTTCAACAGTTGAAGTTGAGTATTTCTTAAATAGGTTTTAATCACCCTATTCTAGTAGCCCACATTATCCTTGTCCTTTAAGATAGATATCTAAATAAAATATTACACCCTGACCGGTTTGGCTCACTGGATAGTGTTGGCCTGCGGACTGAGGGGTTCTGGGTTCAATTCCAGTCAAGGGCAAGTACCTTGGTTGCAGGCGCATCCACAATAGGAAGTGTGCAAGAGGCAGCTGATTGATGTATCTCTTTCATTGATGTTTCTGACTATCTCTCTCCCTTTCTCTCTGTAAAAAAGCAATAAAATACAATTTAAAAAATAAAATAATATAGCAACCATGTTAAGGTAGAAGAAAGCTATTGAAGGAAAAAAACAAAACAAAACAAAACAAAAACAACTAAGGAAATATTTCTTAGACCAAAATAAAAATAAACTCAAAAGCCCACAAGTCTTAACATTATTTAGAAGTGAATTTTTATTTTGTTGATCAAGAAGAAAAGAAAACTATATTTAACACATTAATAAGTTGATTCAGGTCACATGAATCTAAATATATAGTACAGCTAAGGGCTCCAGTGACCTACACAAACCAGAATGGCTTTTGATGTGAGTAAAAGGCATAAAACAAACTTTAAAGGATTGAAATATTTAGAATAGTTTTGCAACAATCAAGCAAGCATTTTCCAGTTTGTACAATATCAAGCCTCTGGAAAGAATCAAACTGCTATACCAAGATGCTGGTCTTTGCTTGGCCCTCGACATCTCTAACACCTCCCAAAATATTCCCTAGGATCTGATTCAGATGAGTCATTCTTTACAGCCTGTAAAAGTAGACATAGCTGGATGACACAAAATTTCATCATCCTGAGCCTGAAGATCCTCTTTGCACCATAAATTATTTCCAAACTATTGTCCTGACGTCAAATAAAGATAAATGCAAACATGTAAGGTGTGGAGAGGTGTTTGCTGACATTGCATGCTGAGTTTGACTAATGGTAGGCTTAGCATTAGGAACAGCAGTTCCAGTTCAGGAGTGGCTTCGAATCTCTATTCAGAACAAGCATTGCCCAGGGACAAAGAAATTGTTTAATCACTGCGTAAATGAGTGCAGCAGGGAGGACTAGACATTGTAATTCCTTCCACAGAAGTTTTTGCAGCCTGGCCAGAACCTCTTCTAAGCACCATAATTGGAATACATATTATTTTTCATTGCAGATATGATGCTGGGTAATTTTACTTTGATTTCATTATTTTGGATGTGGTCATTATTTTGAGTTGATTGGATAGGTAATAGAGTAATCAAAATTACATATCTGTGAGTGATTTCAAAAGGTCATCTAGTTTAATCCCCAGACTCAAGGCACGATTACTGATTCCTCAAGCCAAATCAGTATATGTCTGACTCTTCCTAAAGATTTTCAGGAACATCATCCAAAATCCTGAGGGACTTTGAAAGAAACTACAAGATGATTGATCTCTGGGCAGTAAAAATAAATTTTTATGAAGTTCTTATTTTAAAATTTGCATACTTCTCTCAAGTATGTATCTTTAAGTATCTATATCCTTACTCAGAAACTAGTTATTCTTACATTATAGAAAAGTCAACCATGTTTGGGATCTTCTTTCTCAGCCCACACCAATTACTGTAGAACAATGAAGTACTGTAGTAGAAGGAAAGGGGAATGAGAAGCGAGGATGCTATCCACTGACTACAACAAGCAATATAATCAATGCATAATAAAGAAAAAGACTAAAAAATAACTACAAAATTCAAAAAGCACAACAGCCTTGAGCCTTAAAATATCAGGACAATCAGCCCAATGCACCTGAGGCATTACTGTATTATTACAGCATCATATAACAATGATGGGATTGCCAGCTTTAACAAATAAAAGTGTAAGACACCCAGTTAAATTAGAATTTCAGGTAAACAAGGAATAATTTGTTAGTACAGTTGTCCCAAATCCATAGACCAGCCTATGCTGATCTAAACTCCAAATTTTACTGGGCTTCCTTTATTTTATCTGACAATCCTAAATGAGAGGGTGACCCCAAGTCATCAATAAAGCACAACCTATGTTTAGTATACAGTTCAAAACCATGTAACAAATACAATATTATAAAATGTTCCGTTGATAGTATTTAAGAAAATCACAACTTGCAGTTGTCTGAAAAGTTCATTTATTTGAAATACTTTGAGCTATGCATGTTCTACCCACTGCAGAGCCTCAAGCATAACATATACACTTAATAAACATTGGATGAATAGTAGAAAAGGCTTAACATACCATTCCCCAGCAGTGGGGTACCTCAAGTCCCTGAAGGTTGTCCCTAGCCCCTCCTGGTCATTCAGTTTTAGAATCCCTTCACACCTCCTACGGCAGGTGTCATTTCTGCTGTCCTGTTTGAGTCCAAGCCTGACTCAGAGTCGGTGTCCCTGTCCATGCCGGGCTCCCATTCTCATGCGTGCCTCTCTTGTCCTGGCTTTCTGTGATGCCCCGGCTAACCTTCTGTGATAAGACTTTTTGAGAGAATGATATGATACCTACACTTCCTTAATATTTTGGGCTTTCTCTGCAAACCCCTTGTTATAAGAGTCAGTCAGGTGTGTGACATGAAGGAAATGAAGAAATAGGCCCAACTGTTTCCCCAGGAGCAGCTCTGCCAACCCCATCCACTCGTAGCAAGCCTCAACCTGGAACCACTTACTGGTCACTTACAGTCCTGAGGGCCGGTGTTAAGCTT